TTCTTAAAAATAAAAGTCTCTCTGTGAGTCTCAACCTCTAATTAAAATATTCTAGCTTCCATTAAGTGTTTTTATTTTCTTAACCATCATTCGTGTCACTTTTGGAACTGTTTGTCTGTCTGTGCTGTTTCTGTCCTGCATTGACCCTTGAAGGGGTCAGAGGTCAATGAAAGGCTCAGTATAGTGCAGCCGCAGCCAATCAGATCAGCTCAGATTAATAAATAATAATAAATAAATAAATTAGCCCCAAAAACAGAAACTAGAAACTCACCTATCTCATCGTAGTGAAACAGCAAATGTTCCTGTGAAACCAGATCACTTACAAATCCCATATTCTGGACTATAATATAATATCATATAATATCATATAATATAATATATCTTATTAGTTTTCTGCATGTTTTTGCACATTAATTATTGAGTGTGATGAGGAACTCTGATGAGGAGTTAAAAATTATGTTCAGTCTATAATCAAAAATAAGATAATAATAAAATAACATTTAATTTTGGATGTTATGAATCTCAGAGACACAAAAACATGTAAAGATGTATTTATGTGCACAGTTCATCCTGTCGGTGTTTCTCTCATTAACACGTTAATAATATTAATAATAGAATATTGATCTCCAGGCTCCGCAGGAAATCCAGGAGTTTCTGGCCTGGCAGCAGGACCTGGAGAGTGACAGCAAGAGTCCAACGCAGGACGCCAGACCCACAGTGTTCAGGTGGCCCGGCGCCGCCAAAGAGGTCTTCGTGTCCGGCTCCTTTAACAACTGGGCCACCAAGATCCCGCTCAACAGAAGGTACTCAGTGCAGGATGGTTAGAACGCAGCACCAGGCGCCCGTTAACCGTTAACCACTAATAACGTCTGTCTCTCAACACCAGTCAGAAGAACTTTGTGGCCATAGTGGACCTGCCGGAGGGGGAGCACCAGTACAAGTTCTGTGTGGACGGTTTGTGGACGTTGGATCCTGCTGGGGTGAGTGCCAGCGTTTAGAGATAATCAATGATTGTACTTTACTCTCTCAGAAGAGTTTCTATATATCTGTTTACGCTCTGTGTCCCAGGCTGTGATGACGTCAAAGACGGGAACGATCAATAACGTCATCCAGGTGAAGAGAACTGACTTTGAGGTGTTTGATGCCCTCAGGATCGACTCAGAGGATTCTGCAGACCTCTCAGGTACCTGGATTCAACCCCAGATATTGTTTAAAAAAAAGGGTTTTAATCAGCATGAAATGTTATAATGGTGGTTATTTTATTATTATTTTAGAACAAAACACAGTAAAGTTAAAGGTTATTTATATAAAATATAAATTATCAGAAACAAAATAAAACTCACAAAACCTTCTTTGTAGTTTCTTCAAGTGATTTTGTAAAAATAAAAAAAACCTTAATTCACTGAATTAGATGTGAAAATATTTGTGAAAAGGGCCGTAAAGTAATCTAATGTTTCTCTTTGGGTACAAATGTGCCAGACTCCAGAGACAAAAACAGTAATTTGATCTTTCTTTATCACCTTAACATCATAAAACACTTCAAAGTGGACAGAAACAGAATAAAACTCACCAAAACTGTCTCTGTTTACAATCCCAAACTCCACTAACAGTAGTTGTTGTTTGTTCCACTAGCAGTAGTTGTTTGTTCCACTAGCAGTAGT